GCAACAGAGTGAGACTCCAACTCAAAAAAAAAAAATTAAAATACAGTTGTATTCATTATTTGCAACTCTCCTGACAATACCTGAAAAGTTTCTGACAACATTCTCTAAGAATGGCATGGCATGCTTATATTACATAAAAGTATATTAAATATACTATAGTTTGTAAAACTTTTGACTAAAAAAATTACGATTTCTAAAATTAAATAATTTCATTGTAACAGAAAACTATATCTATACTTATTTTTATTAACTACTTTTCATCAATACCTGGAAGAAAAATTATTACCTCTATCAGACTCCAGCCCCAATAAAGTGTTTCAAAAGCTCTAATGAATTATTCACTCATTTCCAATTACATATTTTTGCCAACACTCATCATACTTTTTAAGAGGAGTCCTGGTTTTGGTTCTCAACTTGATCAGAAGAATGAGTCTGATATTTAATAATAACATTGATCACATCCAAAATGTAAATAAAATTGTAGACCAACCCTTTTTGATAGTTCCCTTCCACAAGTGTACTCATTGTTTAGCTTAGAAAGATTATAATAGGCAAAGCTATTTAACACAACTAAAACTTTTAGTGTGATGCTCCTCTAGCACATTGAAGGCTGTGAAAATAATCTTGCTATTCTCTTCTTAAGCTAAAATTATCTTCATATAAAATGATTCAACCACTTACATAACTCTTCCACTGCTTCTCCGTCGAACCTGGATGCCAAAAGGATTTTCCTTGATTTCAACATCATAAAGTCTGTTTTCATAAGTACTTGTTGGAGTGGTTGGGATGTTTAATGGTACTGGAACTTCATATCTCTTATTTTCAGGATCATAAATCTATTGCAGAGAAATAATAAAATTGGAAACAGTTACTCATTGCTGACATAGCATGTAAATATTAATTAAATTAAATAATGATTCAAACAAGAATAGTTAGAATTGTTGTTCATATAATTCCTATCCTATATTCATGGCCCCTATATCTACATAGAATTCCATATACACATTTATAATGGGACCAAATTAAATACTGCATTTTTGTACCTTTTTGAAAACATTTTGATAAAATTTTCTATACAATAGGAAACCAAAAAGAACATTTTAGAGAGAAAAATTCTCATATAAATATAGCAAAATTATTTTTTGTTTCATGATTAGATAAGGTTGTTTGACTATTTCTGTCATACATATGACTGTATAATGAATATTAATGTTAATTTATGTTTATTTGTATCTTTATACTTCAGCACATTTCTTAGAAGTGATGGCAATAGGTCAGAGTATACCAATAATTTTTAAGTTTCTTTATAGCTTTGGCAAATTACTTTCCAGAATTTTTTATTTTTTTATTTTTTTATTTTTTTTGGAGTTGGAGTCTCACTCTGTCGCCCAGACTGGAATGCAGTGGCCGCTCCCGGCCACCGCAGCCTCGACCTGCTGGGCTCCGGCGATCCTTCCGCCTCAGCCTTTCAAGGAGCTGGAACTACAGGCATGTGTTACCACGCCCGGCTGATTTTTTGATTAATTGTAGAGATGAGGTCTCGCTGCCCAGGCGGGTCTCGAACCCGCGGGCTCAGGCAATCCACTCGCCTCAGCCTCCCAAAGGCGCCAGATTACAGGCTGAGCCACCGAACCCGGCTCCAGAATTATTTTATTAACTAATATTCTCACCAAAATGTGTAGTCAAATATTAATGTATGTTAAATTAAAATTACAATTTAAGATTGTTAATCATTCCCTTGCTGATAAGGATGTATCTTTTTCTACCTTTGTATTTCCTGTTCTTTAAATTTGGCTTTTTTTTCCTGAGATTTTTAATTAGTGTAAATATGTTAATATTTTTATGTTTTGTTTTTATTTCTGTTAAATGTCTTCTTACGAGCTCTTAATTTTTTCTTGATTTAATGAATTGAAATTACTTTCCTTATGTCAAATTTACATCAGATATTTACCCATATTTTTGTCTTCTAATTGCTTATAGTGCTTTTAGATGTGTAAGAAAATATTTTTACCTATGAGACTTATGCTTCTGTCTGTGGTTTGAAAGGCATTTACTAGCCAGATGTAAATATGTAGCTAAATTTTGTTCCAGGCTTATATTTGATTTATTTTTTATGTGCAACTCAACAAATTATATTTTAGCATTTGATTTGAGATCCTTTTCTATACACATTATTACATAATCTCTTTATTGTGAGGCTTGCTTTGTTTTGCTACTAACACACACACACACACACACACACACGTATTATGCTTTTTGTGCCACTTTGTGTTAATATACACTTCAGCAATTCTATCTCCAGTTATACACTGTTTTAATTTTGTGTCACCTCTTCCTTTCTTTTTAAATTTTAACCATTGCCATATATTTGTTTTTCAATATGAACTTGTTATTTTATAGAATCCAAAAAATTTCCTACTGAGATTTATATGGACAGACTTTAAAAACATCAACTAATCTAAAATGAACTAAGGATTGTCCTTATAGACAGGTCATTTAGTCCTAAAATTCTTGATGTTTTCATCATTTATTTGATTTAAGTGACTTTGGCAGTGGGATGTGCTGCCATATCAGCTTTTAAGAAGTGAATGGTATGTAAGAAATGGTATGTAAGACAATATTTTTTTTGATCTATTGCTTTAAATCTATTTTGTTTATCTTTCTTAACATTTCTAAACGTTTCCTAATTGACTGCCTTGGCATTCTTAAGTGAAAAAAAATGAGTTAACTGCAAATGCTGAGAGAAATTATTATTTTTGTATGTCTTATTGCATCGGCCAGAAAATTTGGACCACTATTTGAAAGTAATGAAAATAGCAAGCGCCCCATTTTGTTTATTGTAATGGGATTGTCAACATAGTTCAATTCTATGTGGCTTAAGTATATGGGAAATATTTAATTCTTTTAATCACCACCGTATTGTTCACATTTAGTGACGATTTACAAATCACAATTCATAAATGAGACGCTTTATTTATTGGGCACCTAACTATGATCCGTATAGGATAAAATGTTGATTTCTAGAAAATCAAAACGTCACCAAGCCAACTAATAACTCTTAATATTACATTAAAGATCCAAACCCATAATCTATTAATCTTTTTTCTGTATCGATGAGCTAAGCATTGGGATAGTTAATACTACACATACCTTAAACTGTAGCATATTATTTTTGTGATATTTCACCTCCACACGAAGAGTTGAGATGGGTTCAGAAGGTAGACTTATTCTAGCATTTGCAGTATTAAGTTGCAGTTCAGCCATTACACCCATTGATGAATAGTGAGTTGACTTGACTAAGTAGGGGTTGTCTTGTTTAGGAAAGTAACACTCAGGTGCTTGGGATTCAAAAATCTAAAAACACAATGCATGTTCATTGTCAGAAATTGTAATAATCATTGTAATATTTGATTCTTTACAAAAATAAGATACACATGTTTAATCACATGTAAAATTTATAATATTGCTTAATGCTAAAATGGAATAGCAATCGCAACCCAAAATATTCATTATACAATCTGAGATCACATATACTCAATGTTATATGTAATATTTATGCTATAACTCTATAGACTGAACAGTAAAGCAGAAGGATTACATGTCAGAAGGATTAAATGTTAAAAGATAAAATTTTTAACTCAAAAGAAATAACATTAAATTCTGTTGCCTTCAAAAATAAGTAAATTACTCAAAACTTTTGATCTCATGCTTTTTTCTTATTTTTCATATAGAGTGTTTTTTTGTGTGTGTAAAAATGGCTTTATAACAGCCCTCAGAAGGGCATGTTCTTAGATTTATTTTCTTTTATATAACATGAAACCACAGCAATCCTTTAATGACTTGTTCTTATATAGTTAATTACATCATACTGGGATTTGAAATAAGAACTGTGGCCAAAGATAGGAACTGATTGGTTTACACAGGAGTGAGAGATGGTATCTAAGAAAAAGAATGGCAAACTGTGACACTGATGGCTAGCTATCTCCCCATAATCCATTTTCCCTATCTTGCTTATTTGCTAAATTATATAGTGGATAGAAACAACATGCCCATTTACATTTCCCAATCTCTTTTGCAGAAGTTCCTCAAAAGCTCCTTAAAAGAGGGGGGTATAACCTGATTAAATTGAGAGGTCATTTTTGATTCATCCACTTTGCTAAGCCTGGATCACAAATATAATGGCAGAAACTATAAAGCAACCTTGAAGATGAAAACCAAATGGTAAAAATCAAGAAGAATAAAATATTGATGACATTAAGACGCTAGCATATTAGGATTGGGATTCCTTTCGTAAGTGAAAATTAAATCCTGTCTCGTTTAATCTACTCAGATTTTAGGTGTCTGATACTCTACGATTAAAGCAATCTTTACCTGATATAAATGTTGTAGTACTCCGTTCAAACACAGTGCATGAAATGAGCACCAACAGAACCAGAAATATGGCTGATTTTAGAAAACTGTAAAATCTGTCTATGGCTTCCCTACAGCTACCTTTCAGCCCAGTATCACTTCCTCTTCATCAGTTTACAGGCCATCTCATTCATGTTTTTTATTAATAGTTCTCATCAGCATTGCTTTTTGAGGTTAGGATGAAAAATAATTTTTTAATTTAGAAATGTTTAACAGATTATTAAAAACAAAAACTTAGATTACCCAAGTAATATCTAACTGATTGAACTTAAAATATATAAATGTAGTTTTTGTTTTTTTAAAAATCCAAACTGACTTTCTCTATATACATCTATATAATTTAGAAGTAGAGAAGTTACCACTTAGAACATCACTTCTGAAGATTTTAGATCTGAAGATTTCAAATGACATTAGTCTAGTAGGATCCCAGAATTCATGCGATTTGGTGTCAGCTTTAAGTACCAATGTGAAATTAGGTGAATACAGAGATGATTTTGAAAGTCCCAGGTAAGATCTTTGCTCCAGGTAAGATCTTTGTTCTGAAATTATCAATGATTTAGAAAGCATCAATAATTTCTTACTATATTAAGCCTTGGGAGTTTTTTCTTTCTTTGTTTTAAATCAAAGTCAGCAAATTAAGGATTTATGCACAGTGACTACAACCAGAGTAAATACGCCATCCAAACTTAATTGTATTTGTCCCTCGCTCCTTGATGTCTTTCCTGTCTTCCTTTAAGTTTATTTTCTCAATCACTAAAATTAGCTTTTTTATTCAGTCTCCATTATGTGACTTTCGCTAGCATTATTGTATTCAGTTTTAAAACCACAGTCTGGAAGAAAGCTAGTTTCTGCCTTGTCAATACCTGCCATAGTACATTTACTAAGCTTTGTCTGTCTTTGGAGAATTAAGATAAAGATTGGTTATCAGAAATGTGAATTTCAAATTCCAACTGATTTTCTCTATGCATTTAGTTTATATGCTGCAGATTTAAAATCATAATATGTAAAGTTTGCATTGAAATGCTATGTGAAAACCATATTATGAGTCATAATTAAAACTATTATTACCTCTTCCCATAAACAGCCACGTTGTTTGCACTTTTGTTCAGTTGCAAGGTCTGCATCTGGATAACAAGTAAATTTTTCATTTTCTGAGAAAACTTGACTCCATCGAACACTAAAGTTTTTGCCAAGGTTAAGTTTGAGATCCTTAATTAGGAGAATCTTTGAATACAAAAAAAAATTAGAGATTATATCTGACTATTGAATAATTTTAAAATATTTAACTTTCTACAAAATGTGACAACCACAGCAATTCTTCAAATCAATTCATTAATAGTTTGGGTATAATACTTAAAGAATAGATATATATATATATCACATACACTTACACAATGTGTATATATGTGTGTATATATACATACAGAATTATTTCTATTACTGAGACTGCAAAGTTATGTTTGCATTATTGCTTATATACCTTACTAACGACATGAGCAAGATTTATTTCAACTAGATTTTCATCTGTTTAGCTTATTTTTGATATCCACCAAACTTTCTTTCAGAACTCTACTCTAAGGAATGAAAATTAATATAAACATAAGTCTGAGCACAGCAGAAGTAGGAAGGTGTACTACTAACGTCTATGTATGTATTTATATAAGCATAAAAATAGACATAATATAGACACAGATGAAAATTGAAATTTCACCAAAATTATTTTGATATTTTACCCTCTTGTAATCTGTTAGATCTGTAAATTTCTTAATAAGCTTGTGTCATTCAACTGATAGTTGTTCTTATAGTACTGGAATACTTAAATTATAGTAGTAAATCTAAGTACCATATTTAAAAAATTAACCTATATATTTCCTGAAAAATTCATATTGAAAAACACTAGACCAAAAGTCTTAAAATTCAGACAAAAATATTCTATGGCAATGTTCTTTATCTTAAACAAGTTAGCATGTAACTATGTTGATATTATCAGTAAATTAGGGCTATATAAATGGTAGAAAAGTAAATATCAAAAAACTGCTTTCATGTTTTTAATTATAGCTGCCTTTAACTTTTTAAATACAGCAACTTACTACTCAAAGCAACATTATAATTTTTTTTTTATTTAACTCTTTTTTTAAGTTGTAATCTCACTCTGTTGCCTGGCTAATATTTTGATTTTTGTGGAGATGACGTGTTGCTACATTGCCCAAGTTGGTCTCACGCTACAAGGTTCAAGCAATCCTCCCATCATGGCCTTCCAAAGTGCTGGGATTACAGGCATGAGCCACTGCACCCATCACAACATTACGACTTAAATGTTATATTTTGCAGATGAAGAAGCTGGAACAATGAGATTTAATGTGTTTAAGAACACAGATGGCAAAGCTGGAACTAGAGCTCAATTTTGTGACTCCTTTTCCCTCTTTACTCCACCAGTCAAAAGAGAAAACAATCACAAAATAAGCAAGGCCTTCTACAGAAGGGGAGAATATGAACAAAAAATTAAATCAGAAAATACAAGAGATATTTTGAGGACAGTGAGAGTTTATAAAAAACAGGAAAGGATAATGATTGAAAAAATGAAATAAGTCAGTATGTTAAATAAGTTGTAATTAAGAAACAAAACATTTGGAATCTTTGTTGCAGGCCACAGGGAGGTTCGAGTTCAGATTAGAAGAATGGTATGGAGCATATTAGGAAGGCCTATACAAGCTGTATGCAAGAGAAAATCATAAAGGGAGGGAAAATAGCAAGGCACCCTCTTCATGTTGTTATCAAAATGCAAACTGAATTGACCAAAAATGGAATACTGGTAGTAAAAGGAAAGAGGAAGAAAGAAAAAATAAAGAATGGGATGAGGAAAAAGGGAAGGAGGGAAGAAAGACAAGTTATAAGGAAAAACAAGTGTCTGAATCGCTATATAATATTACATGTGAGAGTATAAGACAGCTGAAATACTGTAAAAGATTGTATTTACCTGGTTGGAAGCATCATAAGTGAAATTGTTGTGAGGACTCCCTGATTGGCTATTTTCCATCACTGTAACTTCTGTAACAGTGTCTGTCAACCCAAGGACTTTTATAGTTTCAAATGCTAGGGTAGTGCCTTCCTGGTATGATGAATGTGTGCATGTAATATTTAGATTGTTCTGGAAAAAAATAATATGAAATATTATTTATTAAGTTAACAGATAAAAACCTGAAATAACAATACTGGTATGAAATAGAGAAAACAAACAAACAACCACAATCATCTACCTCTGTATTCCCACCAACTTTTCCTTCCAAATACTGATTAATAAGTCTTTTTTTTGTATGTGTGACCTAAAACTTTCTTTTCAGAAATAACCTAAATTGCTTTGAATGCAACACATATATTCTCCTCCTTATTCCAGCTCTAACATAAATGAAAAATAACTTGACTTTGGCAAAAAAAAAAAAAAAAAAGAATAGATGAAGAAATCCAATATCTATGAAAAATAATTTCTGTTACTTATTCAAAATTTAACCTTGTGCATAGTTTTTTCAAAAAAATTGAAACTATTTTCCTAGGACATGTTGCTTAAAACCAGACATAACATCTTAAGAAGTCTAAAGATTTTTGTGCACCAATTTCAGGGTCACAAACTCAGTTATTACACTTAAATATGAAATTTTAAGGTAACAATTTGTTTATAATTAAACAATTTAAATGTAACAACTACATTTAATGATTTATTTTATTACTTTTCATTGAAATCTGGAAATCAATGTAATCATCTTTTAAAAAAATTAATGATAAAAGAATAACCCAGACATTAACTATGTGTCCAAAGAGAATGCTTACATTAGAAACTGAAAATGAATATAGTATGTAGTTGCCCTTTTGAATGGTATCTGAAAGGGAAAAATAATATGTTATCAGAACAAAATGTAGTGCTAAATTCTCTGCTTTTTTTAGGGTTATACATCATATAAGAAATGTGAAAAAAAAGGATACTGTTTATTAATTAAGCATCCTAACCAAGTTTTCCTTTTAAATTAATTTTTTAAACTGTCTCTGCACAAAATAATCGTGTATTTTATTTTTCCAGTAAGTAAAGGTAATACATACATATTTGCCTGGTTTATTTTTCTGAAAGACTGCTAAAGTATCTCAGGGAATTTGGAGAAAGCAGACTTTATAATAAAATATATAAAAATTTATTATTTTGAGTGATACCTCATTAACTCCCTAGTAAACTGTGTGACGGTAAATTTCCCCTAGACATGGTACATTATAATTTTATTTTGATTCTTTTTGTTATTATTATTATTATTTGAAACAAAAGAATGAATTTGAAGACATGTTAGAGATTGAAATAAACTTTAATCTGTAATTGAGATAAATGTTAATGAGGAAAATTAAAGAAGACAACAATTTTCTGTAACTTTTGTGTGACAAAATTTTTTATCAATATACTTTTAACAGAAAAACAAAAGATTAGGACTGAAATAAATTGGAAGAAACAGAGTGAAAATATAAAATAAATCTTAGGATTCATATACAATACTTTTAATAATTAGTTTAAAGATTTAATCCTAGAAAATAAAATTATAAGCAGAACATCAACAGAAGATTGCTTTATTGTTTACATGTTTACTTACAGATCATTACTCAGAATTCTCATTTTCTCTAGCTTTCAAATGCACATAACTATGTAGCTAGCATATTAGATAATTGATTGAATTGTGTTATTCATATTCTTACCTACTTATATGAAAATAAATTATCAACATTAATTTTCACTGGTAGAAGGAAAGGGATGCACCTGGAAATATTTATATAATTTGAGAAATAGTGTAACCTTTTTAAGTAATCATGTCCTCCATGCTACCAAAGGAGTTATTATCTCAACAACATTGTTTGATTGGTAACTACAAATAAGTTAGGCTCAACCGCAATTCGCTTTTACAGAACTTCTATGAAGTAAGTGCTTGGAATATTTTCTCCTGGGAGAGCTCACACTAGTGTGCTTATTCTTCAGGGTGTTTAAGAAAGAGCAAGAAGTTTGGTGTGCTAAAATAGAATTTAAAATGTGAACATTTATCCTAATACTACAAGAAAAGGATTGGCAGTAGTGGGCCACTGCAGGGGGTGAGGGGCATATAACGTCTATGAGAGTACCTGATCCTGAACCAGGCAAAGAGAGGACCAATGAGACTACTTATGTATCTAATCCTGAATTGTAACCCACATCTTTAAAATAAAATAATAATAAAAAATTTAATTTAATTTAAATAAACAGCAGTAGGGGTTAACGTATGTGTGTGCACATGCCATTGTGTGTGTGTGTGTGTGTGTGTGTGTGTGTGTGTGTGTGTGTGTGTGTGTATGTGTGTGTAAGCACAGATCATGGTGAGTTTGCTAGGTCGCCATAAAAACTGTGGCTCCCAATTGAGTAAAATGGAGACTCTTTAGAGACCTGTGGTCAGAGAAGTGGTGATTTAAATCACCTTTTGAAAGGATTATGCTCCCTGGATTGTGATAGAATGTAAAAAGGGATTGACAAAAATTATATTTCAGTTAGGAAGCTATCATAACTTTAAAACAAAAGACAATGATGGAGCTGATGAAAGGATCCATATCAAACAAACCAGGAGAAATTGTTAGGCTCTAAAAGAGAATAGTCAACTCTAAGATGTTGGCATATGTAGAGATGGAATTACCATCAACAGGCAAGGGAAAGACTATAGGTGCAGCTAATATATGATGGTAACATCTGAGTTCTATTTTGGAAGGTTATGTTTTAGATTTTTATGAGACAAATGGAGAGGCAAACTACACAGAGGATTGGTTTGAAAATATAAATTTCTGAGTCAGGTAAATAACACAAAAGATTTCATTTATCAAGGAAAGGATTACAGGTAAAAATAAAAGAAAAACAGAGGACATTTATGATAAATAGCTGTGGATGGTATATGCAATTCACACCTTGCATGAAGAAAGATCTCAGTGAATATATTGTTAGAGAGAATAAGTTTGGTTCTGAATACATTGATAAAATACCATAAACAAATGTCATTTATCTAAATAAATTTTAGTTAACAGAGTGGGACGATCATGAATCTTAGGAGAGAATTATTGAATTCTTATGGTAGTTTTTAAATATCTACATTTTAAAAAACAAACAAGATTTAAAAAACAAGAGTTTTTTCATAGATTCCATATTCCAGAGATTGAAAATTGGAGATTGCACATCAATACATAGACTACTTCATTGAGTTAGATTAAAGATATTTGGATATTTCATGTACACTTAAGGCATATAGCATGTTATAATTTCCTTGTTTTTCTTTCTTTATTTGTAACTTTAAATAAAAAATTTGTGCAAAGATATGCTTTAACATTTTTGACAAATAGTGAGTTAAAATAGAAGCTGTGCACATATATAAAACACATACCTAACACTTTTCTATGAAAAGAAATACAATTTTTTAAAATTCTTACATTTATAAGGAAAGTTGTAATTGAATAATTAAATTCAAACACACAGATTTACAGCTTCATAATTATATATTAGCAAAAAATGGCTCATTTTATCTGTTTGGTGTACTGAATTCTCACATTTAAAGATCAAAAATTTTAAATTAAAGACATTTAAAGAAAGTTAAAATACATTTAACAAGGAAAATAAATTGTGAATAATTTATGATTCTTACCTCAAATAATTTGATATTAATTAACTAAATCTTCAAATATCTGGGGTTTTTTTTGTTTACAGTAGGAAAATTTCAGTTTTAACCACAATATTTAAAGCAGCTGAAAATATGATGTGATCTGTACATCTGGGAACTGACTGACTATTTTTATTCATAATATTAATCTAATAGGTAAAGGCGAAAAGCCTTGGGAGATTTTTGCAAAAACAGACAAGACTAGATATTTTAATTCAATATATATAGTTCAAATTACAATGGTAAATTTTAAAAAGCAACCTAAAAGCTACAACAGATAAAAACATTAGAATTAATAACTAAATTTTGTGACTTCTCAAAATATATACAACTTATATCGCCATCCTCAGAATGAACAATTGAAAGCATATCACTTTGAGACTTACCTTTAGTTTCTCCATCATCCCAGAAAAAGTCTCCCTTTGCTGTGTTATTTTCATCTAATGCAATTATAAGTCCCAGGGGATTCTTACGACTGTTAAGGAAAATTAGGTGCATATATGATTAAAACTAAATTTAAAATAGTAAAATACCCCATTAATAAATCCATTACAGTCTGTTTTATAGGAGTTCTGCATTCAATAAGAACGTTGATACAAACCAATTCATGTTTAGATGCAACTACAGTTTTTCAATAGTGACTTTTTATGTGAATGCAGAAATAATTTATATACGCAGAAGGTAAATCAAAGGAATAAATGTGTAATAATTTCAGTACTGAATTTTTGGGAGGCTGAGATATATGCAAAATCAAAACAGTATAATATTTAAATTCAAAAAAGAAAAATTAAATGTTCATTATGAATGTTCAATTTAACCTGTGTAATCCTAAATTTCAGTGTATTAAGTCTACATCTGATGTGCACAACAATGCAAAGTATGACATAACATTTTAAAAAATGTTTAGTGGAATCTCTTAGATCCTTATACATGAAACAAATTGTAACAGGAGAAATGAGACATGACCAGTAAAATTTTTTCTATTTATATATTACCATAAAATAGTATCCCTGAAGCTATACAGTCCAGGCAACTGCTCTACACTGAATAAATTCCTTCTATTTACCAAAATGTACATTTCTCTTGTTCAGTACAGCTCTAGAGTATAACCAATTTCCTTTGACACACTCATGAAACAATTCCATTATTTGACACACTCATGAAACAATTCCATTATTAGAACAGTGCATTCTAGAATGCCAAAACAATTAAATTACTAAGCACATTCATTTTCTCATTAATTTGTTCCCTCAGCAAATATTTTTAGGAAATAGCCTAATTTAGGCAGAACACTGTGATAGGTTTGCGGAAGAAAGCTATTAAAAGAAAAGTCTCTGCTTTCATGGAGTTTGTAGTCTAGGTGAGGATACAAACTACATACAAATAAAGTAAATACTATAATCCTAGATATTCTTAATGTTATAAAGGAGCCACAACAGGGTAAGGATTAGAGTGTGACTATGTGTTGGGATGTTGCCAAATGGAAAAGCATGTAAATTCCACATAACACTGTTGCCTTTGAACTCGACTTTAAAGCTGCCAAATGAAGCATCAGAATTTTCAAGTCTCCCTTATTTTTCGAAATATTTTTCAGATTTAGTCTGACTGAACACTCTTGCTCTTTGCCTAACCTGAAATATTGACCTGATTCATCAACTTAAAAGTAAAACATTTGGCAGAGAGAAAACATAAAAACTGACACATGCTTTTCTCAATTATATAACAATATTAATATTTCATATTTTATTAAGAACTAAACACTATCTTCAATCTACATATTCCACAGAGAATGTGAGTAAATTTTTGGTACAGGAAATTAATTTCTGATCTAAGTATATTCATTTTTTAAAATCAAGACATTTGTAACAGTATACATAATTTCTTTCTTTTTATAACCATGACGATTATAATTTTTACTTCTATGTGTTAAATATCTTCTGATAAAAAATTAATCTCTGATTCTTAATACAAATATGAAATATTAAAACGTGAATCTTGTTTTGGATTGCTGTTAATGATTTTTCATTTTACCTTGCTGTTGTTGTGACATCTGGTTGTTGAATAGGGATGATATAACCTCCTCTAAGATGTAATCCTATTTTGTCTGCTGGAAGATACATGTTAACACGTTCTTTTCTCCAGGTTCTTTTTGCACCCTACATTTGCATAAAAAGATTATTATTCATGAAGACTTTAAACTCTATTTCACAAGCATTAAAAATTATAAATAGACAAATGGGCATCATAGTGAGACTTTGTCTCTACAGAAAATAAAAAAAATTAGTTGGGCATGGTGGCAGGCACTTACAGTCTCAGCTACTGGAGAAGCTGAGATTGAAAGATTGCTTAAGCCCAGGAGGCTGAGGCTACAGTAAGCTGTGATCATGCCACTGCACGCCAGCCTGGGTAACAGAGTGAGATCCCAAATAATTAAAAAAAAAAAAAATTCATTGTAGTATTTTTCAGTTTACTGAACAAAGCAGAGAAATAATTTCACATTCTTAAAAATACGAATAAACAACATAAATAAATGAATTTTATTTCTACAGTAATTAACAATATTTTTAATTAGACTAATTTGTTATCATTCGTTTTGGTTTAAAGTTAGCCATCTTTTTAGGAAGAATTTTCTTAAAATCATTGTTGCTGTAAAAATTGTCTACTTAGTCAATATAAGCAATATGCAAAATAATACCTATTAAAGTAAATATTTCTCAAGTGTGTTGGTCATTTGGGAAAAAAATGGATTGTGGGCTTGAATGCTGCTATTGTCTTCTTAATTTTGAAATGCAATGACTTTTTCAAATGTTTGAATGTAGCACGTAATAACCAAGATATAAGATTAGCTCAGTACTCAACTTGTCTGGCAATGAGATAAATATGTAAGATATGAAAAAGCATTAACATAAGTTACCACTCCTTCCTAAATTACTGCTGACCTTTTATTTCTGTAATTTTAAAACTAATAATATCTCTTTATTCTAAAGAAAATAATTTCATATTCAAGTCTAGATCATGTGCAGCAAAGAGTATACATACACAAATTTTTACACACTTCTCAAATTTGAAATTATGATTTTTATAATGATACCAGAAATCAGATGCACTATTTGTTGAAACCAAGTTTCCATATACATTTGTACACTTGTATTTGCAAATATAATACATGTGAGCCCATAAGTATATAGAGGCTACTTACAGTTTCATAATCATACCAAGTAGCATCAGGGACGTATGCACTCACTGTATCTGCTCCCTAAAATAAAGCAAGATAATATATATGTTTTCTTTTATTTTCAATTCTTAACAAAGAGATTTTGTCAGTAGCAGACAGCAGACACTATCATTGTAGTCCTGCCACTGTGCCCTTCTCACCGTATCTTTCCTTTAATAAATCTAACTTTCTGAACTCAAAAAAACACACAAACAAACAAAAAAAGAATCTTGTCAAATATTAAGTTGGGTTTTCAGAGTCAAGGGGGGGAAAAGACTCTATATATTGTTACATGCCAATATTTCCCGCAGATAATAATCAAAGGGCTATTTTACTAGCTTTAAATAATATAATAATTTAAAACATATCAAACAAAGAGCCAAAGAGGAAATTAATTTAGATGACAATTAAAATAATGCATGCACTTATGTGTATTGTTATAAAACACATAGTCACTGTATGTGAACATGTTTATTTCTGTATACCTCCATGGGCCCATAGACTTTAAAAGTATGTCATAATTTCCTAACTCACTCCTAACATTTTATTTCTTTTTTTGAGAAAGCAGGATTTATTGAGAGGACAGAAAAGCTTCCACAGTGGAAGGCGACCAGAAGGAGTTGCTCTAGTTTTCTAACATTTTCATATGATCTCTTTTTTTTTTGGTGAGGATTATGTTCTAAAATTATTAAGGAGATTTATTATGAATTTTGTCTTCTAAATAACACTTTGGTACACAGTTTCTCAAGGTTTAGTTATCTAAGGATGACATACATCTGAAATCTAAATAAGTTTCAATTTCTGCAGAATAAAACATTCACCAATTATCTGAGAAACATACTAGTTGTCAAAGATGGAAGCAGAATTATACCATGTTACCCTAACATTAATGGGAAAGAAGTTATCATTGACGTATATACACTTTGTTTAAAATCATTACCTGCATAATGTGCATTTGTATGTAGTAATACTAATGAGCTCTCATTTAAGTAGACATAAACTTTGAAACTTTGCTAAATTGTAAATAAAGAAGAACTTGATACTCAGAAACAAAGATCTTCTTTATTTACAATTTAGCAAAATTTCAATGTTTATGTCTACTTAAGTGAGAGCTCATTGGTATTATTATATAATTTAATTTTTATCCAATAAATTACATTTTTCTGGAGAATACTAATTTGCACAATTTTCTCATTCCTGGATAGATATTACAGATTTGGTAAACATAGTTCCATTTAATATTCTTACAATTTTTTGAAATATTTTTCCATGTTGTAGAATTTAATTAGACATTTTTCAGCTTAGTAGAATTCATTGAATAACATCTATTACTCACATGTTTTGTAATTTAGCGTAAATTTGGTTACACAAAGTTCCCTCCAATAAATAATTGGATAAACTTGTAAAACCTACCGGTCTTAAAACAGGAGTAATAAGTAATGCAGGACCCCACAAAAACTCAAGGTCTTCAATCCAGCTGTTTGTATCCTGGTAAAACCTAAGAACAAAGACAATATTTATGATATAATGATAAAAAATAAGCTCATCCTAATTCCTGGTTCAGTTTATTCTTTCAGTTTTTTCTTGGTACTTATTGTGAGTTTCAAATTTATTTGTTTGAGATGTCATTTTGAATTCATAGTGCTTACACCCTATGTGATTTATCTGACACTCAAGAAAAAAAGGAAGGAAGAGAAGAGGGAGGGAGAGAGTGAAAGAGGGTGTAAGAAGGGAAGGGAGAATGGAAAGAGAGAGGAAGGGAAATACGGAGGGAGACAGGGACCAAAGGAGAAACGGGAAGGAATAAAAGAGGGGGAAAGGTAGAAGGGAAGAAATGGAGGAGGGAGAGAGAGGAGGGAAGAAAAAAGGGAGGAAATTAGTTTATCTTGAACTAAAAAAAAAAACTATCATAGATTATAAGATTACTTTTAATCTGCAAGAAACGTTTCTGTTTAATATTTCTCTCTCCTATACATTCAAAAAGCATCACAAATCTTTCACATTCTACTTTCTTTGCTTTAAGCTTTTTCATTATAAACTTCAATTTTGGCCTGGATTTGGACAGGGTCATTTATTAAGAAAAAGCCCTGATCTGGTCAAAAGCATATGTAAAGACAAGCACAATATACCTTTTCTGTAACTACTATACCTCATTCTTGATCTATATTTACATGACTTTCTCGATATTTACTTGAGTTGTTTTCAGTAAATCTATGCTTCATCTTTCTTATTGATATAATTTCCTTAACATATTTTATATATCTTTTTCCTTGCAAATTCTATTTAATTCTAACATTTGTACCTAAATCCACCAAATTAATTCTATTTATTAATATTGTTATATAGCTCCCCAAATCATTTCCAAATGTGTACAAGCAGCAGAAATCTTGATATCTTGATTTATCTCCATTGATCTTTTCAATATGTATCAGAATATACTTTAAAAGATATAATTATTTACATATTACTCACTCATGAAGAACTGGCCTTACTACTGTTTCTCCAAACATATGAGCTTTGTAAAACAGAGTATAGAGAAAAGGTAATAAGGTATAGCGAATATTTAAATAATGTCTTGATGACTTAACCAACAGTGAATTCTGTCCAAAAAATGCAGGATCCTGATGCTGTGGGATAGAAAAAGAATTTAAAATAAGAAAGCTGAAATGTAAATAAAAATTGGAACACTTTTATCTATTTTTTAAAAGCAAATTGTATAAATTTTAGCTTATTTACAAAACATTAAAATTATTCCTATTTCATTATCAAAGGGTGTGAATATTTCTAGTTTTTGTGTTTTCATTTGTTTATTTGTTTTAATTAAATTTAGTTTTGATGTACACATCTTTACCTATTTAGACTAACATATCTTAAGTGTTCATTTAAATATACACACTTAAAACAAAGTAAATTTTTTTTAATGAAATCGAGTTATTCACTTCCTGATAGTGGGAGAATGCATTACTGGCTCCAATGTTTCATGCTTCCTTGTACCCCAAACCTGTTCCATGTTACTTTTCAGTCCCTTCCAGTGAGGGTGGAAGGACATGCCCACCACTTGACTGAGAGCTCAGCTGCGCGCCTACTCTGGACAGTGGAATGTTAGCACATGGGACATGTGTCCTTCAAGGAAAAGACCGACATTTCTTGCCTGAGGACTTGCTACCCTGTGCCCTGCCACTGCCATTAGAAGAATAAGTCCAGGCAGTCTTTGGGCTAGGGATATGGTGAGCAGAGCTGCCTGGCTGCCGACAGATTTGCAATGTGAAGGAAAGGCTCTCTACTGAGTTCAGGCTGGATCAACTGACGCCCTCATCAAGGCGCATTGATGGGAGCAAGCTTGCTTACATCTCCTGCTATGGGTGGCAAAATGAACCTAGAGTCCCAGCGAACACCTTGCTGAATCCACCATGATGTTTGCACTGAAGTCATACTTCCTTTGAGACCTCCCAACCATTGAAGGAGCTTGGTAAGAATACAATGCAGGCACTTTCCTGGTAGAAACAGGAAGAGCCAATGGTCAACTTGGCCTTGAGGACTCCCTACTAACCTGACTGAAACTTGGTTAGCCACTGGGCTGCTGCTTGTGATTCTTCCTTCCTTGTCATCTTCGCCGGATTCTGACCTACACACTGTGGCCTGTGGGTTCTCCCCACTGCCTCATGCGCACACCCCTGTGTCCTTCACAAGTATTTCCCCAATAAATATCTAATATCTAATTCTGTCTTGTCATCTGCTTTTTGGAGGACACACAAGAACACAGAGTATCAGGTGTCATGCAATTCCTGTCAAAATTTCCTATGGACACAAATTTCTTAAAAGTATAATTTAAGTGGATTAAGAGATAACTAATCAGTAGGTCGAGGCTGCGGAGAGCAGCATGCTACTGCAAAAAAAAAAAAAAAAAAAAAAAAAGAGATAACTAATCTCCAATTTGTATCTTTTAATCTTTCCTATCATACCTTCTTACAGGCTGAGCGGAGAAGTAGTTTCTCCCCTTAAACAGAATATAAGCCCTATATGCAATCCGTGAACAATGAATGATTTCTCAACCAACATGTATTTCATTGACATAATTGAAAGAAACCAGAACATAAGCTCCTTATGATTCTAGGCTTATGTTCAAGGAACCAAGTCTGTATTTCCTTCATCTCTCCTGACCTTTGGTTGTTATTCTATGGATTGCAGAGCGACACCCTGTCTAGCCTGGAGGCAGTTTGTCTTAGTAACTGCCTTGCTTTTAACTTAGAGAGCATAGCTGTTATGATAAGCATAGTTTAATCATTATTACTTACTCTGCTTCTGTAGTTTAGTTTAAACATTAACACATATCTGCCTTGTGTGGTTTTGGCCTCCCTTGTGTGGTTTTGCCCTATGTAAGAGGCATGCTGTGAAAATAAGCTTGTTCGCTCCTGCTCTCACCTATTGAGAGACATTCCAATCCCGCTGTTTCTTTTGTCTTTCTTTTCTCATTCCCTCCCCCCAGCTCAAGCCCTGCTCACCAGAGGCTGGACCCCCGGCACTTAATGATAATCTCACTGCTTCCTCTGAAAAGTGCACCTATGGGAGTCCACAGCAAGTTGCATTCCCAGGGCTGGTAGAATAGCTCTGCGTTCTCTTGTACTTCTGCTTACCAGTTGAAATTCATGTTTTAAAGGTGTTAGCTTTGTTTTGTCTCTATATATTTAGTCCAGTTTTATTTATTACAGAAATACTCTTGATCAAATTGTTTTACAAGTGTCTCTAACTTGTTTTTAATTAATGAAGTAGAAATTGGAAATCCTTGATAGCATATTATATTTTAAGAATAAAAGTCACCTGAAGTTACACTGTTAGAACCCAAGAATACATACTCAAAAAGCTTTGACTCCAATATAAAATACTGGTGATTTAACAAATTTGTAAAGCATATGCTTTAGGCTTACATAAAATATTTATATTGTGACTACATTTTGTTTCACAGTTTCCATTTTTCTAACATATAAAACCAGTGTTGGACTTGAGGATGTCTAACTATTCTTTATAAATTATGATACAGTCTTTCAAACCATTTATTCTATAGTTTTAACTTAAGTACATTGTTTAAAATATGTTTGTGTTTCCTCAAAACATGGAGAACAAGAAGCACTTACCTCATAGCCATCAGCATTGTGGTTTCTGGAAAATGGATAAAATGCTCCCAATTGCATCCATCTTCTGCAAAGCTCTTCTGTGGTTTCAGCCACAAATCCACAGATATCTGCTCCAATCTAAACAACAAGTAGGTCTATTACTTATACTGATCAGATTCTCAAATTTTCCTAGAGCATCACATTTTATGCCTCAACTGGCTAGTTTTCATTATTTATTATCTGTCTTACTGTCTTTTTATGCTCTTCCTTAACTCTGCTTCATTTACCATTTTTGCTCCATCCTTGCCTCTAATTGCATTATTGGGCATATTCTTTTTTGCATTTCTTCTTTATGCATTTTCTTAGCCTCTTGTATTTATTGATAAATTATTGTATTTTGATGTAATCATTAATTCAATGTATAAAGATGAAATTAATATATTAGAATGTGTTGTTTCTTAATCTAAAATGCATCTCCCTTATTTTACAATATGTTACTTTGAAAGTAAAAGAGCAAAAAATTGTAACTGTTTATTCAGGTTAGGCTTATAAAATTAATTATTTTAAATAAAATTGAGCTTTGCCCAATGTGTACCCGTATAAGACTGCATTATTTTTTTTTTTCAAGGACCCTCTAGAAAATACTCCAGAAAGGGCCTCATGTGATGGGTTGTAGTCAAAGTTTTGTTTCATGAACAAAATTAATTTAAATTATGTGAAACTGCCTTCAAGCTATGTGCATAAAATGTATATGAAACATAAACTAATTTCGTGTTTAGAGTTGAGTTTCATCTTCAAGACATCTCGTTATATCTATGTATATATTCCAAAATCTAAAACACTTCTGGTCCGCACATTTTTGGAAAAGGGATACTCAACCTATATAGCTTTCCTTATGTAGAGATATGTAGAGATCTTACTCTTATACTATGGTGCATATACATAGGCTAATTTTTTTGATTTATTTATAATACACACTATTTAATCAGAACTGGTTGGACCATTTATAAGCACCGTACCACTGCGTGAAAGTTCCCATTATGTTTTTTTTTTTTTTTTTTGCTTTTCTCAGCTTTTTCAGACTTAATTGTGGCCACCTATCTTCATGAAATATATCAAACTAGTTTTTTACTTGCATTTCTTTGATTAGTAAGAATGTTGAGGCCGGGCTTGGTGGCTCAGCCTGTAATCCCAGTGCTTTTGGAGGCCGAGGTGAGTGGATTGCCTGAGCCCGTAGGTTCGAGGCCTGCCTGGGCAACTTGGCGAGACCTCATCTCTACAATAAATAAAAAATTAGCCGGGCGTGGTAGCGCACGCGTGTAGTTCTAGCTATTCGGAAGGCTGAGACAGAAGGATCGCCGGAGCCCAGCAGGTGGAGGCTGTGGTGGCCGGGAGCGGCCACTGCACTCCAGTCTGAGTGACAGAGTGAGACTCCAACTCAAAAAAAAAAAGAATGTTGAGAACTTTTTCATAGTTTGATTTGGTTCATATAGGTTTCTTTTAATAGAATTGCCTGCTTGTATCTTGTACTAATTTTTCTATTGTTCTTATTTTCTATAGATTTATTGTAGGCACTTTAAATTGACTATCAACCATTTATTGATTATATGAATTGAAAATAGCATTTCTCCATATGTGGATTGCTTTTTAACTGTTTCACACAGTCTTTTGATGAACAGAAGTTTTCAAGTATTCAATTCTCTGTAAGTTTCCTTTTCCTTTATTATTTGTGACCTTTGTGTTTTGCTTAAGAAATTATCCCTCTAACCTAAGATCATAAATTTATCCTTATATTTTCTACTAAAATGCTTAGAGTTTGCTTTTCACACATAGGTCTTTAATCCTGCTGGGACTGATTTTTGTGTATGGTATGAGAAATTGACTCATTTTATTTTGGTTTTTAAATGCATAACCAGTTATCCATATGAATGGTTGATACTTTCCTCACTGATCTACACTGCTATCATTTAACAAACTGTCATATGTGCATGGGCCTATATCTTATTTTGTCATATTATTCTATTTGTGTATTGACAGTACAGTACCAGTATGCTTATTACTATAGCTTTACCTGGTAGAATAAGCCATCTTCAAGTTCTTTAAAATGCGTTATCTTCCTTGTGAAGTTTAGAATAATTCTTTATGTTCCCCCACACCTCTCTATAGTTTAAATCAGAATTCCACAGAATTTGGATAACAGTTTAGGGAGAATGCATATTCCTAATATATTAAGCCTTATTATTAGTTAACACATATCTTAAATTTATTTAGTTACCATTTAAATTTTTCTCAAAAATATCCTATGTTTAGTTTTGGTATTTACTCCTGGTTATTCTATTGTTTATTAACTAGTTACTAAGATAAATGATATCTTATACATTATAATATTGTTTGGTTTTCTCTTCTTTTTTGACAAAATATATTATAAATTGGTCTATTTTATTAAAAATTGCAATGAGCCACCTTTGCATTATGACTTTTAAATTTTTTTCTCTTGGGTCTTTGCTTACACTGTATCAATTTCCTCTCTTGCTTTCATTACCCACATCTTTCTTTAGGTTTAGTTGTTTTTCTTTTTCCTCTTTTTAAATTATTGTACTTTATTCATTAACTTTTCAGAATTTCTTTGCTTTTAAGTATTTAAGACTATAAGTTTTTCTTTAAATACTAACTTAGTTGAAATTTCATAAGATTTGACAAGAAGTAGCATTGTTAACATTCACTTCTAAGATTATTTTTTTCAATTCCATTCAGCTTATTTTTTGACTCATGAATAATTTGATAATATGGTTTTTAATTTTCAAGTGAAAGATTGTGTTCAAGTTTTTTTGTTTGGTTGGTTTTTGGTGTTAATTTTATTTGTGTATATAAAAGAAAGAATAAATATATCAATATAGTTTTATAAGATATTTTACTTTTTTGTTATGTAGTGGCTATCTTTAGTCTTTAATGTCAACCTTATACACTATTTTTTGTTTGATATAATTAGATTTGCCAGATATTTTATGTTTAGAAATTCCTTGTATGTATTTTCTCCCCTTTTGAAATTTTGAACATTTTTCTGTCCTTAGCTTTTATTTTCTAAGTAAAATGTTATCTTTTTGAATCTCCACTGACAATCTAATATTTTAAATAGATTTAGACTTTTAAAATTTATTTTTATTACCAGCATATTTTCACTTTTCTCTACCACCTTATTTGGTGCTCCATACTTATTATTAAACATTTTGCACTATGTTTTTTATTTGTTTTCCTGAATTATTTTGGTATAATTGAATTTTGTTTGTTTTATTTTCCCACTCTAATGGTTTGAATGTTATAAACACCATCCATATTCTTATTTTTTCCATAAGTTCCTTAAGAATAAAAACTTGATTGTTTTCTATGATGTGCCTTTTAATAATCTTATCAAAAGTCATGAAGAATATATAAAAAGTTTAATGTAATTGCTGCTTTTATTAGTAACACTAAATGAAAATGCCTTACCAAAGGCATTCCAAACAAACTGAATTCCAGCATTCCAGTAATAGACCATTCCATTTGTTCCCATGAAGCAGTGTTGTCTCCTAGCCAATGTGCAGCATGGCTTCCAGTTCCAGCAAATGTTGACCGGGTAAGAATGAAGCTTCTCTTATTAGGAAACACTTTTTGTATAGCTCTAAAAAAAACCCAAATTCATAAATAACATTTATTTTAAAAATAAAATTGGTAGCTACAAATTCTAAAATCTTAATTTCAAATGTATATTTTTCAATTCCCAGAGCCTAGCCATAATATTTGCAATTGTTATTCAAAACTTTATATCAACTTTGCATTTAGTTATCAATATATTGTTATTTAAATACATTCTGATCAAATACAATGGAAGGAAATCTTTTCAAAATGATTGACACTTTGAATCACTTCAATCATTCTTTATCAAATGAAATAAATCTGTGCTTTTGGTATCTTCTCAACATTTGTTTGGGAATACATGATTTAAGCTCATTGAAATTTTTTATAAGTAGAAAGTTAAGCAGTCTGAACTTGAACCTAATACACTTTTTGTAATGCAATGACGCTAATTATATCTTCATGTCTACATTTTCAAATATTAGCAAGCAATAATGGTTTAAAACTTAGATAATTGAGAAGCTTTTTAGTTTCTAGACATTAACCAATATCCACAACTATTAATATTGTTCATCTTGCCTGTACTGGTACCCAAATATTATTGATAATATTTCATAAAGGGAAATAATTAGGAAAAATATAATTATATTCTCAGATGATTTTCTGTATCATAATCTTTATCATATTGAACCACACAGTGTGCTTTTTCTTTCCTATAATATATTAACTTAAACATTGCAATATACAGTATTCTAATGAGTTTAACAAGTAAATTAACACTATGATGATGGTGCTAAGAGTTTTGATATTATGGTATGATTTAGAACCAGAAAAACATCGGTTTGAATTAACACTCAATCATAATTGTTTAATTATGAGAAAATTGCAAATATATTGAGACGAGGATCTGGGTTTCATTGACTATTGCATTATAGGATCTTACACAATGCTTGAAAATAGTAGATAATCAATATATGATTGTTCCCTTCTTTTGTATTATATTTTAAAACACATTGCATTTGAAAATTACTTAGGAGAATACTTCTTGGAAAACTACATTTTAATTAAATAGTTTTTTTAAATAACTAAAATTTGTTCTAAGAACAACATTTTTCCAAGCCAATTGTGAAATTCATGCTTAGAACACAACTATATTCAGACATGGCAAACTGAATCAAATTTTTGAAGAATAATTTAAATCCATGAGTTAAAAAAAAGTGACAGTTAAATACATATTCCATGTCATTCTTGATAACTGAGTTTCAACTTTATGAATGTTAGTAAAATAACTAATACTTTGCCATTATTTTTAGCATAAAAATAGTGTCTTTCTTTTTTATATTCTTGCTTTTTTGTAACTGTATTGGTAAATTATCAAACAAATTTCTAGACAATGAAGATGAAAGGATGTTTTGAAAGAAACTGTACTTACATCTCTGTGGCTATAGACATGCTGTATCCATAGAGGCTATGAACATCATACTGTTTCCCCCAGTACTGCACAGCATCCATGCAAATTGTCTTGGAATACATGAGTTTGTCAAGAATATCTGTGAGAAAATAGATAGGAAATATTTCTTAGCAGATATTTTTCCATTTTAAACTTTATATCCCTTCTTATGATGCACTATGTAATACAATACACAGTAAAAAATAATAATAAAAAAGAAAGAACAATTCAATTAAACTAAGCTCCAGTTAGGTCCACACCTTTCACACCTGTTGAAATTGGAATAACTATTCAATTTATACTTACATTGTTCCATGCTATGCTTTTAACTTCAAATATAAACAATTCTTTGAAAAAATAAACTTTAACAGGTATGTTAAAACATACATTTCCATATTGTGCATCCCATAGCTATAGATCCATTTGAAGGCTTTATAGTAGAGTCACTTATTTCAATATAATTCTAGGCAGGAAATATTTTGGATGAAAGACAAAAAAATGATTATGGGATTTCAAAATCATACCAAAGAGGGTAATTTAGAAATATATGCTAGACATTATAAGTCAATAAGAAAATTATCCTCAGTTAATAGTAATTAGATAACTAAATAAAATGTACCAGGAGTAAAAGGTGGATAATTCAATTTGTTGTCATTGCATCCTTTTAATGAACCTTTAATAAAGCTGGAAACTTCATTCATGTCCTAAATGGATATAAAAGGGAAAAAAAAGTAGATTTTAAATAATATAAATCATGCAAACAGAAACTCTTTGTTTGAAAATGTTTTATTTAAGGCAACCATGATGTCCTTTCACACCTACAAGACAAATATAAGCTACCAACCTAAAAATAAACAGAATGTACATATTGGATAACAGAAATGTCTTAAATAAGACTGAGAGATTTTAAACAATCACAACGTATTTAATTTACCTAGTTTTAATTACATATACAAGACATTAATTGTATAAACGTTAAGTAACTGTCTTTTCTATATAATTCTATTAGTCATCTCACTATGAGTCTATCATTCTACACATTCCTAACACAATCATATACTCAACATAATTGGCTTCCAGTGGCATTTATCTAGTTTCTATGATGTGCTAAGCACATTGCTAGCAGCAGTATCTGCCAAGTCCACAGTCTTCTACTCTGATGAGAAAAAGAAAGTGAAACAAGACAGATAGCCTTTATTATCCTAATTAAAATACTATGACCTCATGGAATCCCTGACAGATTGAAGGAGCCTTTGTTCAGCTCAACCACATTCTGAGATCTGGTGACCTAAACATATCTTGGAGACGTAGTGATGGAGCTATATGTTCATGGATTTCCTAGTAATAAAACCTTAGGCCCAACCATGTCTCACCACTTACTGGTTTTGTTATTGTAACCAGTTAAGTCAAGTCTTTGAACTAAAAAAAAAAAAGTATATAACATTATACATCACAACACATGTGCTCCTCTTCTTCTGCTCCTTACATTGAGGACATCTAGAGATTTTCTTATAGCCTTGTTTCCCACTTGTCTGTAATAAATTGTCTCTGCTTTCATAAAGACATTGCACTCAATCACATCCTTGTGCTGTGTTCATTTTATTTCACTTAGAAGAGTCATATTTTTTTAATTGCATTTTTCCTTTCCTATCCACTTCATGCCCATGTTTTAAGACCCAAATCAATTTTCACCTTCTCTAGTCTTCCCCCCTCTTATACCGACTGTGAATTATTTCCTTTAAATTTAAAACTCCTGTGTTACTATGTAATGGTTGGATCCATTCTTCTACTCCCTTATGAATCCTACCAAATGCTTAGGTAATATTTATCAACAGATTGATGTACAAATCTAAGAGACTGACAGTGTCACTAAATGAGACTGATGAAGACAGTTTTCTTCCAAAACTGCAAAATGAATCATTTGGATTACAGTGAAACCATATTTCTTTCATAAACTTGTAATTATAACAGCTAGACATACTGGTTTAGTTTACTAAAGCTTCCCTAAAGTTTCCCTGAATATTGACTTCTTCTGACCCCAAACACTAACAATAACTACTCATCACTATTATTCTCAAAACATTCTTATGAAAGTTTCCAGATTGTGAGTATAAAGAGAATCTTTTCTTTTCTTTCTTCTTTTTTTTTTTGAGTTGGAGTCTCACTCTGTCACTCAGACTGGAGTGTAGTGGCCGCTCCCGGCCACCGCAGACTCAATCTGATGGGCTCTGGCGATCCTTCCACCTCAGCCTTCCAAGTAGCCAGAATTATAGGCATGTGCTATCACACCTGACTAATTTTTGATTTATTGTAGAGATGAGGTCTCACCAAGTTGCCCAGGCAGGTCTCTAACCCGCGGGCTCAGGCAATCCACTCACCTCAGTCTCCCAAGGCCTGGGATTACAGGCTGAGCCACCGTCTAAGGAAACTTGTCACACAAGATTAAAATGAGAAATGATCATTTTATGAACATTAAAATTATAAATGCTTAAGGGATAATAATTATAGATTTCTCATTGTGATACAAATATTGAAAGGTATCTCCACTTCTCAAATGTTTTCAGGATAGTCAAGAATGATGAAAGGTAATAGAATTATAAGTATTTTTAAACTTAGTATAAAAACAAAACCTCATACAGCAGAATACCCATTGCTAATACATAGCATGTATTAATTCACTGATATTTAGTGAGCTTTGAACTATACTTTTTTAATGTTGTGTTTTCTGTTTGTTTGTTTAAGGTTTGGTCACCATGCTTCCGTGTTAGTATTGGAAAAACTCTGGTTTTCTCAGATGATCCTCCCCTCCTATCCCCTCCTTCTCTTTGGAGATGAATCAGGGATTTCAGTGTTCAATAGATGCAGGAGATGGAGCATTCTCTCTTTGTGTAGCACAATCAGACTCTCGCTATTTCTAAAGCATCATTTATACCTGCAATTTTCCTGCAAAGTGGTACTTTAGTAGGGGAAAAAAAAACCCTAAGGAAACTTTTAATATAGGTTAAATCATTTTAAGAGCAAGAATTAAAAATGAAGTTCAAGATCAGTGTGTAAGTTTTTTCATTACTTTTGCCAGTTGTTTAGTATTAGCAGTATGATCTCACTGATTTCGTGTTAAAATATTAAAGACTCTCCAAATTCATTTGCTACTATTGTCATGTCATGGGCCTCCTGAGGATTATGCTAATCCTGCACTCAATTCCATGTCGTCAGCAGAAAACATACCTAGTAGATGGTGCAGAAGAAGCACTTGTTAAGTGATTGATTGCATGAATAGGTGAATAATTAAAATAATGACTTAATGAATAATGAGCACTTGAGGATAGTGGAAATAATGTGGATCTAAACAGCCAAAGAAAGCATAGCTATCCCTAGAGTGCCCCTTATATCTTTTTTCAAAATTCTGTGCAGTTGTAAATTAGTTTCTGTGCTTTTGAATGAAATACTTGATATTCTCTCAATGTTAGTGTTTAAAGATTTTTTTTTCTAAAATAAAGAATTCTGAGATCACTAGGTAGTTTCATTCCTAAATGTGCCATAGTTACCAAAGTTAGTAGTTAGTGTCATAGCCGAAGGCATTAAATGTTTGCCTACCATCCAATTAAGACTAGAAGCAGGCTATCAATAGTTATGGTTATAAAACTTCATTCAGATGCTCTTCTAAACACTTGTGCTTTCCTTTAATAACTTTACAAGTAACCTAGGACTTTATTTTTTTTTTTAGACAAAACACTTAACCTATTGCCAATTTTAATTTGTTCTGTGCCATAGCTTACTAAAAAGATGTCTCCAAAGGACTTATTCAGATTTATATGCTGCAATCGCTTCACTATTGTAAACTTTAATAAGTGTTTTTGAAATTGCATGGCTATAGATTTATCTCTAAATCTCATTAGCCATTTTTCAGATAAATTACTATTCATAAAAAACGCCTTAGTTACAAAAACAAAATTTATTCCATAAAGTGTATTAGTAAAAGAGAAAAATTTTGATTTTCATTTTTAGCTTCTGCTTTTTTCTATCCCATAAACATGACAGGTATAATATTTATACATTCTAGAAAAGGATGCTATAGAAGCTTTTAATTTGGGGATGAATACATTCGAAAAAAATATATCTTGTTGACTTAATTTTTATGGCTAAATAATGTTATGTTAATTGACCAAAAATCACTGGTTTAAAATAGATACTTACAATCCAAAGTCCATCATAGTTCACTTTTTCATGGAAAAGACTGCATTCATTTGCCCACCAATCTATGCAGGATGGATTGGTGAAATCAGGGTATACTGTTAATCCTGGCCATACCTGGAAGAATAGATCACTCACTTTTTTATGTAAGTGGAAGGAAAAATAAATAAATACATGGAATTTCGAACTGATTCACTTGAAAATTGTACAAATTATTTAAGTTATTGTACTCCTTTGGGTACATGTAACTTGTAAAAATTCACAAAAATCTCAGGACTACTTTAAGATGTAATTACAGGAGAGCAACTAAAGAAAAAGAAAGTGAGATCATAAAGCATTTAGGAAGGGAAAAATATACAAACATGAGAAAAGAACATGCTACTATTCTAACTGCAACTAAATGTATTACCGAGCATCCCTATAGATTAAGTTATTAAACAAATCAAAACCTATGTAATATATTATTCTTCTGATAAAAGAAAGCACAGTAGTTCATTTCCAAGGGTATTTGTTTCCAAGAAATAAAAAGAAAATGAATTATTCTAATTTTTTATTAACAAACACTAATATAAATATATATAAGATATATATTTAGACAAAACACTTAACCTATATGCTACGTACTGTTTCAAGTACTTTTATTATTATTAATATTTAATATTCATTGGAACTTTTGGAGGTAGGTACTGTGTTTATCACCACTTTACAGATGAGCTAGATATTATAATTAAACCCATTTTGTAGATGAGAGAAGTGATGTATAGAGAAGTTAAATAAGTTGTTTAAAGCCATACCCATAATAACAGACACAGAAAGGTCTCAAACCCAAGCAATCTTTTACCTGAGCCTATGATATTCAACACTATGTATGCTATGTATGCTATGCTACTGCTTCATGATTTATACTTCCTCAAATTATTTGGCATTATTTTACTCATAACTTAAAATAATAGCATTAGACAAGAATTCAGTTTCAGATAAATTAACATGTTACTATCCTTATGTCCAAATAATCCATGTTGGTTGTGTGATTTGTCCTCATACAAAAAGCTGTTATAACAACATGCATTCTCTGAAATATTAATAGGTACTAAGTGTTGGAAAATGTGCGTTTTTTTTCCTGCTGGATCTCACAATTATTTAAGGAAGATTTGCATCAGAAACTATAAATCTGATAAATGTGATAAAAATATACAACAGTCTTCATTGTTGTAAATAATTCTATAATAAATGTTTTTTAATAAATTGATGCTTTTTCCTTCTAATTTATTTAATTTTATTAAATCACAGAAATGATTATGTCTCAATGCATAGACTCAATTTGTCTAGATATTTTATGATTTTTATATGTCTTTAAAAGTTGCCTCCAAAAGAATATTTATTCTGAAAAATACACACTTGAGACATAGGCAGTTTTCTGATTCTGTTTCTTTTTAGTTCTATGATCTTAGGAAAGTGACTTCACTTCTCTAAGATTCCATTTTTTTTCACCTGTGAAGTAGAAATTTTAGATCATAACTATCTCTTTATTTTATTGTGAGGATTAAATGCAAATCATAAAGCTTGGTGCCTATTAGATAAGTATACTATTTATATTTGCAATTTTTTATATCAAATTTCTGCTACTCTTCTCATAATTTGTGTAATAATCTAGATTATTTACCATGTTTTATCTTAAGTTTTGTTTGTGGCACTGAAAATTATCTAGTGTCTCTTTATTTTTAACGGCTTAGGAGATTCTTACCATATTTCCTTTGTCTAAAATTTTTTGCCACAATTAAAATATAAAATTCAAAGTTGAGAGTAAATATATATACAGACACACACACATTCATACGCACTTTGTTTCAGAGAAGAAAATTTGAGCAACACCACTTTAATGAATGTCATAATTTACCTCTCCAATAAGTGGGGTACTTCCATCTGACTCATTTACCCAGACATTTTGTGCACTTCCCCTGTCATAGGCTTCATATGGTGCTCCATTGGTACGTTTATTTATGGAAATTGCAGGGTCCTAATAATAGAAAAAGAAACTATGGAAAATACGTTAACTTACAAATGTGTAAATACTTAAAATGCATAAATATACATAATCAATTGTTACCAAGATGATGACATATTTCTGTCCATGGTTATGCAAATCTTGAACAAATTCAGGGAGCCCATTAAATGCAACTTCATCATAAGTAAAAGCTTTCTTTTCTTCCATATAGTCAATATCAGTTACCTGCGTGTCCTGGAAGATGGCAGAGTGAATTTCAACACAGTACTAATGGAATTATTTTAAACATTTCAATCTAAAATACAACAAATTTGTATTATAAAAAATAAATATTAAAGCATGCATGGAATTGCATTCCTTCTATTTTACTAAATAACAATGATATTGTTTATAAAACTAGTTTTCAATTATTAAGTACAAAAGCATTGAATGGTTATTTACATTTTTCAGTGATGATGCATTTTTTATATATGTAGGTTTCATTGTATAAAGAACAAAAATACACTTCAGAAAATTATTTTCAAATATGTAGGTTCTAAAATTAAGGGTTCATATTCATCTTAAGAACAGAACATGATTTTGCTCTCAGATAAACTGGTATTCTGCCAGTATAACTAATAATCAGTTTTTCAAAAGTGTATATTTATAACTTTAAAAAAGATAAAATATACTTTACAATTTAAAAAGTAGCCTCATAAATATAAATATGGAATGTTTATATAAGATATTCTTGAAAATTTTCTACATTTATTATGTAATAATACTTAACTTGATATATATTCCCACAAGTCCCCATTCTACTTACAAATGGTATGCCAGCTTCCCGGTTTCTTCTTACCACTTCTTTCACTACGTCTAGTGATTTATAATTCCAGCGACTCAGTTGAAATCCAAGACTCCAATATGCCGGCATTGCTGGTAGTCCAGTGAGCTTGAAGTAAATGGACATTGAATTTGTTTCAATAAAAAGAAATACATTTAGCTTAATAACTAGCATTAATGTGCTTCTTATTTTGCATTCTAGTATTCATTTAAGCTTACACATTCTAAATAAAGATTTATTGTTACCTCGATTCTAAATGTTTCCTAGATATTCTCTTCTAATGTGTTATGAAGCCCTTAACAAGTTTATGTTTTGATCCTCATCTTTTATTTTGCGTTTTTTTAACTGAAGCAATCCAGAAAGTAGAATTTACCAAGATATATTTTGTTCATCATAAAAAGTTAAAGAAGATACTAAAAGAATAGCAATAAGAAAATAATATGATCAAGGGGAAATTATTGCATCACACAATGACTTCCTGGAACAACAAAAAGTCACAAGAAAAAAAAAGATGTTTAAAATACATAGATTCTGTTCTGTTCCCTTATATCTTGCAGTTCTTTCTTTTCTGATTTGCCAAATGTTAATAAAATGTATGTTCTACAATGCTCCCATCCAATTTTTGCATAGGGTTCTTAGCTCACTGGCAAGAAGTGTCTGGGCTTCCTCCCTTATCCCAGGGAAAAAAATGGGTCACCATCTCCCCTGATTCCTGCAATGATTTAAACAAGCTCAGTGCACATTTGCAAGAGGATGCGTGTCTCCCTAAAACAAAGGACATGATTTTGCATCTGGAAATTTGGAAGTTATTTATATTAATTTTTTTCACTAAAAACTGAGTATTAGGTAATATTAAGACAAGTAATATTTTTGGCATAATGGTTTTTTTATTTTGGTTTAGGCTTTTATATATAAATTTTGGTTCCACAATTTGTTCATAATCTTTGTCTAAAAAAAGATTATGTAGAAATCAAACAGAAATTATTCATGTTTGGTTATTACTTTCTATTTGAATTAATTATTAAACTTATTTTTAAAATAACTTTATATCAAATAAATTCTCAAAAAAAGCAGTGTATTTCAAATTATATTCCTAAGCACCTTATGTTCCATAGAATTCTTTGAAAATTTGGAAATGTGATAAAAAAGTCTTGTCATATATGTATGAAAATTGTTATATGTGCAGCAAAGTATATTTCATATGTATGTAAAATATTTATTACATACTTATTATGTAAATATTATACATTGTATTTATGTATTAGATTTTTACTAAAAATGGGTATTAGGTTATATTAATACAATCATATTGTATATATGTATATACGTTGTGTACATTGTCTTTAAAACTAAAAAACAATCTGGTCACTCAAATCAATTATGTTTTAAAGTTTTATATATTGAAACTCATAGGCTAGCTTATACATAGAAGATAACATATTTTTTGTCAAATAAAAAATAAAGTTCTGCCTACTCTCTACACATTTCGAGCCTCATTTAAATGAAGTAGTGATTAACAGAGGTCTATTTTATATCCATCTTTATACTTTATTGCTTAGTTTCAAGTCTCTGCTTGAACATGTTGAAGGAAGTACACTACCGCACTGAATGTATGCTGCATTCATGTATGAAGCAAGACTCAAACTCAAATACTGTTGACCACACACTTTATTCAGCATGTAATAGACAACTATGTCAACTAATGTTTGACAAATGAAATGTCAAATTCACTCAAAACACTCACTGTTGCTCATGTAATAACCATACTACAATGTCTGTACATAAGTCATCCATAACTTTAATTGAGAATATGAATTACAGAAACACTATATTTTGTGTGCTTTTTTAGAAAATAAAATTCACACTTATGAACAGAAATTTGGGAATTATTAGGCACTGTAAATAATTCAACTATGTAAAACACAAGCTGCTCTCATTTCAGATTTTTGGATTCTAATTGAAGAATTTTTTGATAGTAATCACCTCTCCTTTGAGAATTATATGTCAAAAAATATATCAAGAAAATGAGATTTTTAAAAGGGGCATTATTCTTGAATATTATACCAATGAAATTTTATTTTTCAATGATTACACCAGGAATCATAGGTAGCAGTTACAGGAGAGCAATTGCATGGGAAGATTCAGAAGTCTCACCTCTCAAGCCCACCATGGGCTCAGGTAACTTAAGATGCTATTTAATGTGTAAATGAGAGTTGTTTAGATAGCAATTTGAGATGAAAAGTTCCAAACTATGGTTTCAAACTAACCCCTCTCTAGGACTGAAGATCAGAGCCAATTTTCCTGGATTTTACCCATTATGCATGTATAGCTAGTTTCACTGCCCTTTCTCATGACTGAATTACCTCTAGGATTTTGATCAAAAGAATGTATGAACTATACACATATTGTCTGTACTCAGTGTTGAAGACAAGATACTTCCTTTTTCTTTATATTACCAAAGTCATGAAAAAGAAAAAATTTGCTATGCATAATCCAACTTTTGAACTCAGCTGCCTAGAAATAAGAAAAAATTTTGATAGCAGAAATATAAACATTTAAGTATATATAGGGTTCGTGGTATAGGGGAAAAATTAAAATCATATACTTGTATATTAAAATGGTACGATTTTCAAATACATTTAGCCTCAGATATATAAAATAAAGTTATCTAAATATGTGCGCATGTCAGATGCAAGAAAGTATTGCATAGAATAGACCTAAAACACACCTGTTGATACTGTTGAACTACTTGTTCTGGGGTATCTCCTAGAAAGACGTAAAAATCCAGAATGCCACCAGTAACTCTATAAGTTATGATTGGAGTAGGTTGGATGAAAACCTCTATAAAATAAAATTTGGAAAGGTTTATGTAAATAGTAAAAATGTATTCAATAAAGCAATTACTATGTTATTTATATTAGCCATATTGTTTACACTATTTTAAAATAATGAAATAGAAATAAGATAATGAATATAGGAATAACAGAGGAGAAAAAGTAGAATGTGATGGGGTTTGAAGCTTATGATAGACTATCCCAGAAATTTCCTTTTACAGATGTTGGCAAAAGCTCTATTGGAAATTACATTGCATGGAGTAGGGGATTACTCCTCTTAGAACCAAAAATGTTTTCTCTAAAACTGCATTTCAGTTAGTTATTTTAACTGAAGAGCCTCTTAAAGATCATGTTATCATATATTCATTTCTAAGAAAAAATAACAAATGTTTTAAATTTAGCTTATCTGAATGTAAGACATAATAACTGACTAGATAACCATATAACCGATGGATTCTGTGAATGCATTCATTTTTTGACTTTATTATCACTGAATTATCTATTAAACAGATATTGCATTGATAATATTAAAATCCAAAAAAAATCTGCATTACTTGAATCTTGAATTGTGGTAAACTAAAAAAGTCACTTATCCTTTTTTTTATTTCCCTAGACACATCTCTTTTTTTATTTATAGTGACATGTTAATCTTTTTTAAAAAATATTTAATAGACAGTGTCTTACACTGTTTCCCAGGCTGGAGTACAGTGGCATGATCATAGTACTGCAGCCATGTACTCCTGGGGTCAAGTGATCCTTCTGTCTCAGCCTCCTGAGTAGTTGGAAGTATGGTATGCACTACCGCACCCAGCTAATTTTTAAAAATTTTTTTGTAGAGACAGGAGCCTTGCTATGTTATCCAAGGTGGTCTCAAGCTACTGTCCTCAAGCAATCCTCTCATCTCAGCCTTCCAGAGAACTGAAATTATAAGCGTGAACCATCACACCCAGTCTTGTTAACCTATCTTGACAAAAGAGGCTGTGGGCATAAATATACTCCTTGAAATGGGTGTGTTTCAATGTCCCTCTAAAGGAAAAATACAGTGTTTGAACATTTCAACATAGCATACTCTCTCCAAACAGACGCACTGGTATGCAAAAATCTATTGTCTCACTAATTTCAAAATCTACTTATAAGAAGCTCATATGCTAAAACCATTAACAATAGAGTTTACTCTGACATACAATATGTCTGAGTAAAATAAAAGAGCAGTTAAAACATTTAAAGTGAAATCTCCTTTAAATATATTATCAACTAAATTATTATTCTTACCCATTGCATTGCTGTTCATTAAAAAAACACCAAATGACTTTCCAGAAACATCTTCAATGCACATAAAGAATGTTTGATGGCCATATAAGTTATTATTATTCTATAAAGCAAAAATTTGATAATAAAGTGTTCAAGTTTATTTAATACAAAGATTTTATGTTAAAATATTTTTATAAATTAGTTTTCATAATTTTCTTTCCATATATCCATATTCATTTTCTTCACTATATGTACCTATAAAACATTATAGTCCCAAAATCTTCTAACTTATTTTAACTATTAACATATCACTAACATACAAAATACATAATGTATACACTATACTATGAATAGATTATTTAACTTTCCTTAATGTTTTATTATGATTAAATTAGTTTTAATAAGCTATTCATGATAAGGTAATGGCACATGTTTATCAATTATTTCCCAGGTATGATTAAGACTCTGCAGAGAATTCCAAGATGATGCCCACCCTCATAAGATTTTTGTTGTGCATCTGTTGAGAGCTGTTGAGGGGATAAAATTGTGGAGGCAAATTTGAAAGACACTAATAAGGTGAAAGGAAAAATACTTCCTGACTAGTTGGATATGGAGGGTTAAAGAAAGGAAAGATTGTATGGAAAGCAGCTATGAGGTTCTCAGCTGGGTGTTTATTGCAAATTGAAAACAGGAATTAGTAGAATCTGTTAGTAGTCCTATATCAAATGAGGCTCTTCTAAACACCATTCATTTGTTTGTTTTGGAGAATGAATTAGTTAGCATTGGTATCTTAAAAAATACAAACATTTGACTCAAATCAACCAGGAGTTTCTAAAAAAATTAAAAAACAGTATGGGACAGTAGGGGAAAGATAGCAACAGAGCCAGTCGGACTGTGCAAGTCCCTGTGTGAGTGAGTGAATGGATGAATTTGTGTATATATCTGTGGTCTTGTGAGTGACTGACTGTGTGGGACTAGGGAGCAAGTGGCTAGGGCTCTCCTGGTGAAGCGGTCGTACCTCATCTGCTCTGCTTGAACTTGATGCTTCCTGGAGCACAGGAGCTGACCACCATTTTCTAAAATTAACAAAGCCCTTCCTGAGAAGAAGCTACCAGGAGTGACTGATGTGGCCAGACAGACCAATCACCACAGTGCCAGGTCAGACACTGGCAGTGAGGGCTGTAGAGGAAGTGCAACAAGGGAGCCATAGGCAGAGTCCCACTGCAAGAGATGAAACAGGCACCCTCCCACCATCTTGAAAACCAGGCAGGGAAGTGCTCCAGTTTGTTTGTCATTGTGCAACAGACCCACTCTCTGTGACCAGCGGGTTAACTATCTTGGGGATGGTCATGACCCAGAGGGAATATCCTGAAAACACACATTCTGGAAGGACAGGATGAGTGTACAGTGTCAGGTGCCCCACACTCTACCTTGCCACAGTCATGGGACAAAAGGTGCGACCAGATAAAGACAAGGAATACCTCTCAAGAGATCAGCAGTGAGTCCTGAGCTGACCCCTCCTCCCCAGTAAACTTCTGAATGTCAGTTCCACATAGCTGGGACATGACTAAAAGGGATGAACCTAGGTGGAGCCTGGACGGCAGCCATGATAGGAAAACTCTACTCTGGGATAAGCTTGGCTGGCTGCCCCCAGTATCTGAGGAGGAGACAATCATGCACCTCGCCTCTCCATCAGAAGGTATCCTTATGAGAGCAGGAGGAAAGGACTGATGTCTCATGCAGCCCCAGTGCCCATCCTCCTCCCTTAGGCCACAATTAGTGCCAGAAATTTTTTTATTATTATTTTCTTTCTTATTCTTCTTTTGTTTTGGTTTATAATTGTGTGTGTGTGTGTGTGTGTGTGTGTGTGTGTGTGTGTGTGAAGATTTGATTTGCATTTCTTCCTCCTTTTTTGTTTTTGTGTTCTTTTGGTTTAACATGTGTGTGTGCGTGCGTGCACATGTGTGTATGTGTGTGTGTGTGCTCAATTTGCCTTCCTCCCTTTTTTCTTCTCTTTTTTTTGCTTAGGTTTAATATGTGGGTGAATGTGTGTGTAAGGGTTTGATTTGTGTTCCTCCCTTTTTTGCTTCTTCCTCTTTTGTTTTTTGGTGTGTGTGTGTGTGTGTGTGTGTGTGTGTGTGTGTGTGCTCAGTTTTCCCGGTTTTTTTTTTGTTTGTGTGTGTGTTTTTCAATGTGTTTTGTTTTTGTTTTGTTTTTGTTTCTTTGTTCTTGTTTTTACTTTTGTTTTACTGTAGTTTAGGTTTCTTTTCTTGTTATTTTTGTCTGTTTTATTTCATTCTACTTTTCTCTATTCTTCTCATTACTGTAACTTTATCTTAGACTCAGAGGGTATACACACATTCCCACTGCATTATCATATAGAGTGGTGGTGGAGAGTGGGTCTCAGGGGGCCCACACCCCAGTCAGTCAATGCTGCAACTTGAGAGTATTTTACAAATTCTAGCTCCCCACTCTCCACTTGCTTGATGTTGAAAACTACAAGAAACAACAAATCTTCCCACCCCAGCCCTGTTTCAAAAAGAACATATTCAGATATTCTGATCAGGGAAGAATAGAGGGCTGAGCAAACAGCAGAAGTGAAAACTCTGCCAACTACCACTAAATAACAACATTAAAGAGAAAAGAAAGAGATCTGTCACAAATGAGGAAAAATCAACAGAAGAACACAGGTAATTCCCAAAAAGTTAACACCAGCAAAATCAGAGCTCAGAGAGAAACCATGGAAATCACCAACAACTGACCCAGAACACAAGATATTAGGAAATGAGTGTAAAAAGTAAATAAGACTCAAGAAAGACAAGATACAACACTGGGAGAATTTGTAACAGAGATTTTGGCCATAAAAGCTTCAAAATGAAATAAGTAACAAGATGACAAGCATGAAAAGCAGAATTAGCCAAGCATAAGAAAGAATCTCAGAGCCTAAAGACCAAAACATGGAAATAACCTGATCTGTTAAAAACGTAGAAAGAAAACTCAGAAAGAAAGAACAAAGCAACCAAAAGATGTATGACTGTATCAAGAGGCCGAACTTACACCTGATCAGTTTCCCAGAAGAAGAAAGGAAAATGGAGAATACCTTGGAGCAAGTATTCCAGGAAGTCATTCAATAAAACTTTCCATGTCTCACCAGAGATGCAGCCATCTAAACACGAGTGATTCAGAGAAGCCCCTCATCTTCTCAAATGAGAAGATCAACAACTAGACACATAATAATTTGCCTACACAAAGTAGGTATAAAAGAAAAAATCCTAAAGGCAACAAGAGAGAAAGGTCAGACTACCTACTGGGGAAGACCAATCAGAATAGCAGCAGACTTATCAGCAGAAACACTGCAAGCTACAAGGGGTCACCGTCCAATATTCAAAATCTTCAAACATAAACAATATCAACCAAGAATTTCCTACCTAGCCAAGCTCAGTTTCATCAGCAATGAAGAATTAAAATCCTTCCCCGATATCAAATCCCTAAACTCTTAGGCTACTTCCAAAACAACTCTACAAAAGATGTTCAAGAAGGTATTAAGATCAGTTCTACAGGAAGTGCTCAAGAAGATATTAAACACAAGAAAGAAAAAAAGAACAACCAAGCACTTCCCAAGAATACAGGAAAACATACAGTCAACTAAACATACCTCATGACTGCAAAATTAAAAACACATGCATATACCAACACAAAGTTTAAAAAAAAACAAAATAACCTCATAAGAGCCTTGTGCCAGGGATAAACTCTCACATTTCAATAATCAGCCTGAATGTCAATGGACTAAATGTACCACTGAAAAGACATAGAATGGCAAACTGGAAAAAAATTTAAAAAGTCTCAACAATATGCTACCTCTAGGAAACAAATTTCATTAAAAGGACATCCACAGACTCAAAGTTTGAGGATGGAAAACACATTTTCAGGCAAATGGAACACAAAAAAGACAGGAATTATGATCTTAATGTTAGACAAAACAATCTTTAAGGTATCAAAAATTTTATTTTGTTTTTGTTTTTGTTTTTTTGAGTTGGAGTCTCACTCTGTCACCCAGACTGGAGAGCAGTGGCCGCTCCCGGCCACCGCAACCTCGACCTGCTGGGCTCTGGCGATCCTTCCGCCTCAGCCTTCCGAGTAGACGGAATTGCAGGCATGCGCTACCACGCCCGGCTGATTTTTTTGATTTATTGTAGAGATGAGGTCTTGCTGCCCAGTCAGGTCTCGAACCCGCGGGCTCAAGCAATCCACTCACCTCAGCCTCCCAAAGGCACAGGATTACAGGCTGAGCCACCGAACCTGGCTGTATCAAAAATTTTAAAAGATATGGAAGAACACTACATAATGATAAAAGGCTCAATTCATCAATAAGAAATATCCATCCTAAACATATATGCATCCTTTGATAAACTTGGATAAAGGAACTACTAGGTAAACTAAAGAAAGATATTGACTCTAACACTATCATAAGTGAGTACTTAAATACCCCACTAATGACCCTTGATAGATCATCAAGGAAAAAAAAAATCAACAAATATATTCAGAACCTCATCTTTTAAAAAAAATTTTTATTATAAAGATGTGGCGTATAATTCAGGGTTAGGTATATAAACATTGATCATGCAGGTACCCCTGTTGACGAGGTATACCCCTCCCTCCCCTAGCAGTTTCCCTCAATTGCCAATCCTACCCACCCCCTCTCCTGACAGTTTCTAACTACTGCCAATTGCTTTCTTATAGCATTATAATTGTTCAAGGTCAGCTTATGAATGAGAACATATGGTTCTTTGTTTCTGTGATAAATCACTGAGTATGATCGACTCCAAAGTCATTCAAGTTGCTGTAGAATCCATATATTTGTCCTTCTTTATGGCTGCATAATATTCCATTGTGTATATGTACCACATTTTTTAATCCAGTCCAGCTTGATGGGCAACATGGCTGGTTCCATGTTTTTGCTATTGTGAATAGAGTTGTAACAAACAAATGTGCAGGTATCCTTTTTCTAGAATAATTTGAGTGGAACCTCATCTTGACGCTTGACCAAATGGACTTAATAGATACTAACAGAGAAATAGTGAAGATGGTGATGGCAGAGGTGAGACTGTGAGAGTCTCCGAA